AAAAAAAGAGTAACCAATCGGAATGTTGCCCTTTAAAAAAGAAATAGTATTATATATATCTATACGATTGTATAAATATTACATTGCATTTTATTTATTTATTTATTTTTTTTTTTTTTGTACTTCCACATATGCGTTAGTTCGGGATTTTTAACTTGCTGCCCGCCTGTTTTTTTTTCTATGGTTAAAAGGAACACGGTAGAAAATTAAGGAGGCATTTTCTACCCTAATTGAGATGTGGTCGATTGGGCGCAATTTACTATATTATGAAAAAAAGGGATGGTACAGCGCATTGCTTTGTATATAACTCGCTAAACATTGTAAAATGAGTCGACGGGGAGAGATTTCACTGCGCAAATTTGTTGTTGGGTATAACCCTCTTTTTTTTTTCGTCCCGTTTAAAACTTTCGCGCCGCACCCAATTTCAACGAGTCCGCTGCTGGGCACATGCCGGCAGGGATGTTGCGGGGCGGAAATTTTGCCAATGTACGGGTCACCATATCCCACTATAATACATTTCACGGCACCTGCCACCCTGTTCAAACCTAAATAGTTGTGTTTTCACTTTTGCGCAGCTGCACTTTTATATTTTCTAAATTTTTTTTTTTTTATAAAAATGGGTAAGTTTAGGAAAAAAGGATAAGATTATAATAAAAAGGGTCATGTCATGGGAAGTAAATATATAAGGTTAAGATGATGTTGGGGATGGTTCTCTTCATCGTTGTTGTTTGTCCCCCCTGTCAGGTGACGCACTTTTTTGCGGCAATTCCCCCCCAGTTTGGGTTTTCTTCCAATAGCGTTAGAACAACCAAAAAGGCTGCATAAAGGGGGTGGGGGAATTCCTTTTTTTCCCCCCTGTTTCGGATGTCCCATTTTATTTGTTCAAAACCATTTACCGCTTTCTCCCAATTCCGTTGTGGTGTCAACTGTTTCTTATGTCCACTCATATCAGCTGCTTGCCCCACATTGGGGTTATACATATATATATATTATTAGCCTTTTCCCCCCGACACAGTATAGTGTAGCATTTATATGTGGGGAAGCACATCATCAGGGAAGAGATAGCTTACATTTTTAAAAAAGAAAATAAAGCAACTGTTGTGTGTTTGGCCCCAATTATTTTTATGCAAAAAATGACGCCCCTAGAGGGGGGTGGCCGGAACGATGGGAAAACTTAATGTACATCGTACACGTGCGTGTTGTGTACACGTGTGCTCCGAGTGGAGTTCCTCCATGCACAGGGAGACTTTCAGTTTGTCCAAACGTGTTCCACGTGATGGGTGAAAAAATATATAATATGTATAATAAAAGGTAAATGAATCCGTTACAGGTTTTTTTTTTTTCCTCTTCAATTTGCCTGCATCCATGGAGGGATAGCATTTTGCTAGACAGTGTAAATGGAAATAAGCCACGTCGGGGTGGAGGCACCTCGTCGGTGCGCCGACCTGCACAGATTAAAAAAAATTATATGCATGCATAGGTAAAAATAATCATTTATATGTGTTTCACAATTTGGAAGTTTTGCTAAGCAGCCCGCAAAAAGGGTCCGGTCTCTAAAACCCTGGTTCTCATATGGGACTTTAATTTTTTGGCGTGCTGTCCCCCATTCCACACAAGAAGTTTGGGCTTACCTCCTTTGGAAAGGAAGAAAAAAATATGCCAGCCTCAATTTTGGCCAACATATAAGGTTGTCCCACGGCCAGGCAGTGCTTCTTGCCTGTTTTGACGCATGTACGGTATATATATATTTATATGCACCTTGAAGAGGGGCAGGAAGCCCGCAAAATAAGATAATGGTGCCTATTTGTTTTTTTCCCGCCCCTACCACGACTTTGGTGCCGTTTTGCATGGAGTTGAACGCGCTTATTCTTCTCGTGGCACCCCCGTGGTTTATCCAATATGAGGATATAGGCACTGCGCGAACAGATTTTTGTAAAAAAGTTCCACTGGTAGGGAAAACTGCGTTTCCACGCTGAGCATAACAAGATTGGGGGCATATGCGATTGAGCGGAAAGGAAAATAATATTTTTTTTTTTTTTTTTTTTTTTTTTTTTGCAAATGCGCTGGAAAAACGCGCAACGGCGTTTCATACCGCTTAATTGGGAGACTTACCCAAAGTTGGGCTGCCCGATTTGTGAGCTGCTGACCCTTTTTTCTTGCCTTCTCCGCGGTGGCACTCCCTTGATCGGCAAGAAAAAAACGTGGACCTGCTCCTCCTCCCCCCTCACAACTAAGTGCCTCCACAAATGAGCACCACATAAGAAGAAGTGAAGAACTGTCCCTTCTGCGAACTGCTTCGTTAAGCGGCAAGAGGGAAAAAAGGGCCTTCTTCCGCATCTTCAACTTGTTCCATTTTTCCGTCCTCACGTTCGTCTTCCCTGCACTGGACCGGTCCAGGCAAAATGATGGAGACACAAATCGCACTGGAGGAAACGGAAGAGCAGAATGTGCTGAGCGAACTGAACAACGGAGAAGACCAACTAGAGAAGGAAGAAGAAGGAGGGGAAAAAAAAAAAAAAAAGCTATACGAACGGAATGAGCTGCATCACTTGGTGAACGCATTGCCATATATAGACTCCCACGACAGCGAACTGGAAAAAAATGCCAAACAGTTGGTGGAAGAAGAAATGAAATTAATGCAAAAACAAAATGATGTGAAAAATTATTTGGAAAATTTTGACATCCCTCCATCAGTGTACACAAAAATAAATAATTCAGTCATGCCAAATGAGCTCAAGCGATGTGAACAGCATATCAACATGGAAAAGCTAAATTTAAATTGCTACAACATCGAAAAGGAGCAATTGGAAGAAGAGAAAAATTTAAACCAGTGGGCCGACACATTAAGGCAACATCAAATCGTATTGGAAAATTTACACAATGCACTTATCAACGTGGAGTTAATGAATAAATACAAAGAGGTCATGTGGAGCGAGCACATGAAAATGTTCACACACATTGATGTCAACCTACAGAATAGCATAAAATCGCTAAAGGACCAAATCGATAATATAAACAAGCAGAGGAAATTGCACCAGCTCAGCTACGTGAACGATTTGTCCGCACTGCAGAATGAGAGGAGCGAGTACAAGCGAAAGAACGACATCGTTCTGGAGGAGATTAAGAAGCTTCTCTCGGAGAACCTGCGTCTGCGTTATCAGCGGAATGTCATATGACGTAACGAGGGGGAGATCGCTTTTAGACATATTAAGCTTCCCTCTTTTTTTTTTTTTTTTTTTTTTTTTTGTGTGTGTGCCATCAAGTGGGACCGCCGATATGGGGTTTGCCCACTCTCTGCACGTTCTCCCTACTTTTTCAAACTTATGTTGAAACATTGTTTGTTTTTGTCTTAATCAGCAAATTCGATTTGTTTTTGCAAGAAGCCAATTTTGGAAAAAAAAATTTTTTTAGAATTTAATTTTGTTCAAGTTTTTAGAGAGGCACGGTGTGCAATGCATCGTTTTCACAACATTTGCAATTTTTACAATATACGCAATTTTTACAATTTTTACGATTTGCGCCTTTAAATAATGCCGCGCACTGCGCACCCTCACATACGTACGTCGTATGGGGGAGGAACCGCGCGTCTTACAGCCACATCGACACAGGCGAGAAAAGTATACCCACGTGCATGTGTTTTGTGTATCGTACGAAATGGTCGGTTTGTACATATATATACATGCGTACCTTCGCACACAGGTGGTATAATGCAGCATCTGCGCGTTAGCAGCATCTTCCATGTTCTTCTGTCCTTCTCATCGACTATAACGCGGATCGTTGCACAATTCAGAAGCAGCTATCTCATCTCATCCCATTCATATTGTTTGTTTCGTTCTTTCTTTCAACTAAAAAGATACTTACATATCGTGTCGTTGTACACCGGATGATGGATCGATCTGTGCCCATTTGGATATGCGCATTGCAAGGGATGTTGTACACACGCCCATTTACGATACAGCCTCCTTGTCCTTCTTTAACTTTCTCTTGTTTCGTAACAACTGTGCCTTTAATCGCTTGGCTTCGAGCTGATCGGCTATTGATTTTTTCTTCAAGGTTTCCGTTTTTTGTCTCTGTATGGCTTCAATTAAAGTTCTCTTATTTTTAAATTGGTTACCTTTGCACTTCAAATAAAAGGAGTGGTACAAATGTCTATCTATTTTCTTTGCATCCCTCAACCTTTTTAACAGTCTCCTCAACACACGCTGTCGTTTAATCCACAAGGTTTTCTGGTTCGTTCTGGCATTCTTCGTACCTCTTCTTTTACCTATGCCCATATGTCTTCCTTTCCTTTTTGCCAATTTGTACAGTCTGACCCTTGCTCTGCTGTGGACCTTCTGAGGTTTCTTTAAAATGAGACCCTCTTTGTACAGCTTCCTTATGCTGAACCCTGCAGGGGAGGAATGAAGACAAGGGAACGGTGCAACAGATGAGTATTCCGCACGGCCATTTTACGTAACGCAAAAAAAAAAAAAAAAGAGCTTGTCGAGCTCTTGCTCCAATCTGGTTGAAAAAAATATGACCCGTTCAGGTAAAATGTATTATTTATTGTTTGTTTTTTGTTTCGTACTTGAATTGGCTAGCGAAATTTCGCTAATTTCATTTGGGTCCATCCATATTTTATTCTTTCCACATTTCAACACGGATGCTGCTAATCTCTTCTGCAATTTGAGCGACTGCGGGGGGGAAGGGAAGAAAAAAATATGGAGGAGGTGAATATGCTCGCAATGGATACCATCTCAAATAAACGTGTTTGTTGACTACGTCGTCCTTTTTGCAAAGCAGTGTAGCCTCCAAGCAGGGGATGCTTCACATTTCCGAACGGGCGATATGGCATAAAAAAAGCAACACGTCTGTGGGGTTACACGCCCGTGCCAGCAGGTTGCTTATCGGGAAGGCAGCACGAGCTGGTGTTGCAAAAGCGAGCATCTCTAATAAACATGGTACGCGAAATAAGCGAATATGCGAGAAGGCGAATAGGAAATGATACAATGGAGTGGCCTCACGTGCCCTCTTTTTTCGCCTTACCATGTTTGCGATAGGGAGTTTTTTCCACAAAGGCTTTTCTATATATTCCTTTATATGTTTACTTCAAAAAAGAAGTCATATGGTACACTATACTACTGCTTTATGTACAGTTCAGCGGAAGTATAATAATTCCCTCAACTCACTTTTTCCAAATTTGCAATTTTTTTGTTGTTTTTTTTTTTGTGGTCATGTAAAAATTTAAAATATTATGAACAAATGTTCAAGCCCAAAAAAAAAAAAAAAAATAACGTAAAAATAAAATAAAAAAAAAAAGGGGGAAAAAGAAACAAAAGGAGAAAAAGAAAACTAACCACCTGTGCGAGGATTATATATAAGTAATAACGTGCTTCCTTTACATGGTATCATAAAACATAACGCTTCTTTCTTGTGCATACGAAGTATTGCAGCATTAAAGAGGTATGGATGATACGATAATATAATATTTATGACATTGCGATGTATGTACAAATATGCATATAGAACAAGTGGCGAAGCAAACGCGAGGGGTAGAGGGGCTGGGTGCAATTTGTGGTGCCGCTAAACCAAGCAAAGTAAAAAAAAAGCAAGAAGTAGCTCGTGAAAAAATGCCTTCGCACCAATGAATATAAACACAATTATAGTAACAGCGCAAAATGGGCCCACTGCAAAAACGATATCCTTTTGCCTGTTATACACCACCCTCCTTTAAAATTGCTGCAATTTCCCTTTTATTTGCTAATACTGCATTTGTGGCAACATACGTGCATGGGTCAGGTTCGGTTCTCGCCCCCTGTGTTGGTGCATACGTAACGAAGTGCAGCGGCTTACCGGAGGGGAAATAAAACAATAAAGCGAAAAACAACGCTTCGCTACCTGAAAAATGTAAGCTCCCGTATGTTGCTCTGGTTCCTGAGGTGCTTAATTGTACATGTACCCAAAATGTCAATTGAGCCACTGCCCATGCGCGCTGTTACGTTTTTCCCCCCCGTTTATCGGTGAACCCGGCAATAAATATTCATATAGAGGTAGTAGTAGCAGGAGCAGTGCAAGGCCAAGCAAACAGATGCCTCACCACAACGGATGGTTTGTTTTCAAAGTTGGTAAATCAGCCCCTTTCGCATCAAAGGCACAATTAAAATATTTTTCTCAACATGCGGAAATGACATTTGGATTCCGTTGTTTCTGGGGTCCATTTTATTTTGTACTCCACACGAGTACGTCCTGCATTTATCCTAATGTCGCACATGTGGGCCTGTACCCGCCTCACCTCACCCCCGCGGAAATGCAAAAAAAAAAAAGAGGCTTATATGGAGCGAGCATCCTTGGGCGTTATAATACGTATATACTTATATGTACCTATGTGGATCATTTCCAATGTTGTGTCAGAACAGGTTATTAAATGAGCGTCTACTATTGCCCCCACTCGCCATGTTCATGCAACTAAAGGCCTGTTGTCCTTTCATGTGCCCATTCAGATTGGGGGCTGCTTATTCTCTATGCGCGCTGTGTGGAAGGCAAATTGTCCACTGCATGAGTGTCGTGTGAAATGTACTGTTTTTTTTTTTGTCCCCCCACCTCCTATACCAAGTGAACACACGTTGCACGAACAGCACAAAGATGGTATAATAGCCATGGCGAGGTGAAAACATGGTGAAGGTTTTCCACTGCGCCGCCGTTATCGGTTAAGGATGAGTTTGTGTGAGTAATCTTTGCGCACGGGGTTGGTTCATTCGAGGGGTTAACACGAAGTAGCGCTCCACCCCTAACACACACACACACACGCGTGGCGCTGGCACCGGTTAAGTGAAAAGATTTTTTAAAATTTGGTCGAGAAACAAATCTGTGTTGTGTGCATACGTGTAGTTGATGTCATTAAAGTGAACAAAGATGTAAGCCTCCACCATGATGAGTAGGAAGAATAAATAATCGCGCATGTACATATATGCGTACATGTCCAAGTGCACACTGTGAATGAGCAGTGAAAAGTCGTAATTTTTTTTCCTGCAATTTTTAAAAACAATAGGATTTAAATGATTGGGTAAAAAATTGGACTTGTCGTTTTTTGTGTGCAAATTGGGATTCCCTCCCAAATTTTGCATCAGCATTTTGTGAATAAATTTTTTATATTTATGTATCCGATCTTTGAAGAGATAATTGAAATTTTCATTCGCTAGGGTTAAATCATATTTAATGGAAATTCGAACAGAGTTTATCGTTTTTTCGAACAAACATTTAATACATTTTTGTTCTTTCGTCAGAGTTACCAATTTTTTTTTTTTTTTTATATATTTTATGTGCTCTTCTTCCTTTTGCCTCTTCTTTATGTCGTCCATAATTTCTATGTACGGTGTTTCTACATAGTTGGCTGGGCCCTTGAAAAGGACGCTTGCTTTTATCGTCCCCAGGAACTGCTCTATGCAGCCTTTAATTTTTGCCCAGAAGAGTAGCTCCCCTTGGGTTAAGTTCGAAATGAGGATCTGCAGTAGGCAAACGTTACAATTGTCGCTGGAGGACGGGTCAGGTGGGTTAGACGCGTCAGAAAGGTTTGTGTCTTCGTCGCCAGAGTTCCCCTCTCGACAGCGGACGCAGGCGTACTTGGCAAATTTGCGTTCCTTTGCCTCACGCTTACTCTTATCATCGTCGAGGGACATCATGGAATGGCGCTTCTGGAAGTGCAGATTGTTTAACCTTTTACTGAGGTTCGGGATGAGGCACATGTCCCCATTCGGCTTCTCCATGCCATCATCCATATCGGCCTCCCGCTCCCCATTCACCTGCATCACCATGTCATTGTCTTCTCCCCCCTCCTGCGACCCATCCTCACCCTCATAATCATGTAGCTGGTTGGACTTTTCATAGAAGTAGTTATAATCGGTGTCATCGGACACCTCCGAGACATCACAGTACACATCACTTAGCAATTGCTCGGAGTCGCAAAAATAAATTTTTTTTTTTTTATTCTTGAAGTTAGTGTAAAATTCAAAAAATGTTTCGTTCGGTTGGTCCTCCCTGCAAATGTCCACGTTCCTCAAAATGTGATGAATATAATTCTTTATGTAAAAAAAAAAATTTGTTTTCAGCAGAGTGTTCATATATTTTTCTATTAAATGTGGTTCTGGGCATTCTCCCCTTATTGCATTTGCGTCTGTGTTCTTTTCTGGCGCCTCCCCAATTGACTCACAGCTGTCTACACTGTGCATGTGCACTGGCGCGTCCTCGCTGCACTCATTTTGATCTTCCTGTTGAAGGAATACCTTCTTGTGGCCCTGGCTGAGATAATACAGCCGCAATTCTGCATCGCCATCCGATGTGGCACATGCCGAAGTGTGTGTTTTTTTTTTCTCTTCGTTACATTTTACGCTTAAGAGGAAATTAAAAAAGAAAAAGTTTTTTTCCAGGAGCAGTCCCCCCAAGTTGTTAAAGTTGTTCTTCCTACAGCATACGTAGTTATTTTTTTTGCATTCGAAGGGGGAGGGGTGAATTGCCCATTTGTTTTTTTTCCTTTTGGCGTACGTCGGGCTGTCTGTAAGAGTTGTACTGCCCCTCTTCATCATCAGCGCGGGGGGATAACTACACATGCGCAAGGGCATATGTGTGTGTTTGTGTACAGGTTAATTGCGCTTGTGCGCCTGGGCGTTGGCCTCTACAAGGCGTTTTCTGCAGCGCGAAAATTTGTGTGCGTTTAGCGATTGCGGCGTATTTTCATTTTTGCCAATTTGGTTCCTTGTTGATGGTAGAATTGCTTACTCGGTCGATTATTCACGTGTGCGTTTCTGTGCATTTGTACGGCGTGCACATTTTGTATGCTACGCACATTTCGGTTCTTCCTCCTTTTGAATGTCCACGTGGTTGCTGCCCTGGGCGATGTCTCTCTGTGCAGCATACTGGCGTAGGAATATACGCTGTGGGGGGATTTTTTTTTTTTTTTTTTTTTTTTTTTTTTT